AGTAAGGTGGCTTTCAAGGGACAACGTCTTAAAAAGAGTATTTCACTTAAGAGCAAAGCTTTTAATGTATTTGAAAGATGAGAAGTCCCCATATGAAAATCATTTTTCCGATCCTATTTGGCTTCTGAAACTAGGTTTCCTTGCTGATATTTTCGAGCAATTAAATATTTTGAACAGTAATTTCCAAGGTCGTAACATTAATATAATTACAGCCACAGATAAAATTGAGGCGTTTCTAAGAAAAATCGATTTATGGTCGACCTCACTTGGCAAAGAACAACTCGATTCATTCCAGTGCCTTGAGGAAATTATGGAAAATGTATCCAATTACAGTGCTAAAAATTTTGAACAAGTTTTTGCTGATATGCATGTTACTTTGCTCAATTTTTAGCCGATTCCTTTTAGCATGTTGAAATACGAATAAACATGAAAGAAAAACTTATTGAAATATCAAGTGATTGAATGTTGAAGCTCCAATTTTTTTCCCAGAACTCGGACCAATTTTGGACTGAAAAGATGCAGGAATACCCCCAGTTGGCGAGTGAGGCTATAAAATGTTTGGTTCCATTTGTAACATCATATTTGTGTGAGTTAAGTTTCTCGTCTATGACTGCCAATAAAACAAGAGTTAGAAATCGATTCGTACTTGAAAATGATATAATTGTGTGTGTCTCAAATACACAGCCTAGATTTGAAAGATTAATTTCACAGAAACAGGCGCATAGCTCTCATTAACATTATAATATTTGACTTTGTTTTACTCTTTTATTTTTACGGACTTTAATATTTAGTTTTATATTTCGTCTAATAATTAATTGTTAATTTCTATTTACGGCGTTGTTAAAATGGGTTGCGACCCCCACTTTGAGTAACACTGTTCTAGCGAATACTCGTTTTTGTTTGTCGTTCTACGCAGTGTTGCCTATGACTAACATAATTTCGTAGTTCTTCAATTTTTTTCAACATTTTGTTGCCAAATGTAAAATGTTATCCAATTTGTTCAGATTTTCTATTAAAATATATAATTATACAATTTTTTCAATAAAATAACTTTTATTTCGTATAATTATACAAGTTTTTCAATAAAATAACTTTTATTGCGTATAATTATAAAACTTAATAAAATAATATTTATTGCGTATAATTATACCTACAATGTTTTCAATAAAATAACATTTATTGCGTATAATTATACATTTTTCTCAATAAAATAACTTTTATTGCGTATAATTATATCCCATTGTCAATAAGATAACTTATTGCTCATAATTATATATCTTTTTTTCAATAAACTAACTTTTATTGCTTATATAACCATTTTAGTTTTACAATAAAATAATTTTTTTGCATATTTAGTGATATTTGGTTCTCTGTTATATCTTGAACAATGCCGAAAGCTAATTCACAAAATCTTACAGGAGAGTGTTCTGTTCCTGCTATGGTGACATTGTCCCAAGATCAGTTTCAATCTTTACTTTCAGTACTTACTAATTCTAATAAGCAAGTATCTGAAGATCTTTTGGTACAAATCAGAGATCTTACGAGAACTCCTACACATATGTCAGGTGGAAATTTCGTTAAATGTACTGCTCGCTTTGATGGTACTGTTAACGCTGATGTTAAAGCTTTTCTTGACAATGTAATCACTTTTAAGGACTGCTCCCAAATAAGTGATGAGAATGCTCTTCGTGGTTTATCCATGCTGCTTAATGGTTTTGCTGCTACATGGTGGTAAGGTATTAAAAATACAGTTCTCACATGGGAAGATGCTTTACAGGCCTTAAAAGATGCCTATTCGAAATAACTTCCGCCTCATTTAATATTTCGAGAAGTATTCTCGCGTGAACAAAATTTTAGTGAACCTACTGAATTATTTGTTTCCCATATTCAAGCTTTGCTTGCACAATTACCGTATACCCTAACTGAAGAGGTTCAGTTGGATATGGTTTATGGTTTACTGGTACGCAAATTACGAAAAAGGCTACCAAGAAATAAATTTCAAAACTTTAAGGAACTTTCAATGGAATCTCGAGAAATCGAAGCATCCTTAAAGGAAGGTTTAGTTGCTACCGACTCGGATCATCAACAAAAACCTCAATCAAATCAAGAAACTCTTGCAAAATAAAATTCAAATCGAAGTGTACGTTTTGTAAACATTTTGGCCGTATTCAGTCAGAATGCAGAAAATTTAACAATATTAGTCAAAAGACTAAGCAATCTAATTCTATTGATTCAGTTATTCCTTATCGTCTAAATACAAATCCTAGCAATTCAAATGTACCTTCTGTACGTTCTGTTAGTGTAGTTTGTTTTGGTTGCAATACTCCTGGTTATGTTCGCACTAATTGTCCTAACTGTAAAATTTCTGTGAATCCTATTATTACAGAAGCAGTCTCTTCTATAGAGCTTCTTTTAGCAGAAACTATAAATTTGAATAATCGCCTCCTCTTACCAATAAGTATCTTAGGTTTGAGTAGTTGCGCATATGTTGATACTGAAGTAAAATGTACTATAACTGGAATTAAGCTATACAATCATTTTGTACACAAAGGTCTAAACTATGTATCCAAGGAAATGAGTTTAGTGCTTGCTGAAGGTGTAAGCCGCACAGTAACAGCTCATATTTTTGAATGTTTGGTTTTCCTATTAGATAGATCCATACCTACAACTTTTGTTGCATTTCCTGAGCACACTACAGCTAAAACTCTTCTTGGCATAGACTTCAAAAATGCTGATATTATTATTAATATCCCTCAAATGAAATTCTCATTTGCTGATTCTCCTAATGTTCAACATAAATTATTACGGGAACCTAACTCCTGCAATGCTTCAATTAACCTTCTTGAACTCACTTTACGACAGGACGAATCCTCACAGTTAAATACTTCCGATCGTAGTACTTTACAATGCTTGATAAATCAGTACAGTGGTGTTTTATGGAAAATAATGAACCTACACTATTTGCTAAACATTGTATTAATTTAACCAGTGGTATTCCAATCGCTGTGCCTCCTTATAGAGCTCAACTCCTTAGAAAGCTGAAATACTCAAAAATGAAATCCATCATTTATTGGAAATGGAAATCATTGATGAATCCGACTCAGCTTATGCTGCACCTACTGTGCTCGTTCCTAAAAAAGACGGTACTTTTCGCATGTGCGTCGATTACAGACGCCTCAACGAAATAACTGTACCAGATAGGTATCCTCGCCGAGGATGGACGATCTGTTGCATGCGACAACACAAACACTATTTATGACAACGTAGATTTGAAAAGTGGTTATCATCAAATAAGTGTTCGTCCATCATATCGAGATAAAATTTCTTTTATTACTCCTTTTGGTATTTTTAGATTTAATCGTATGCCTTTTGGTCTCCAAAACAATTCAAATTTCTGCTTATAATCTGAGCCTTCTAAAAATTGCAAGGCAAACAGACGTTGATAAAAGATGTTAAAAGGGACATGGGGAATCTGAAATTTGCATTCCACTACATGTCTTTACAACTACGCACAAATCCTTAGCGAATTGTGTTTCTCGTACTCACACAGAGTATATCCGAATAAAATGAAAATCACAGCAAATATTTGATTTCACGCAAACAGCGCCTATGTATCTGTTGATACGTATTTCGACCTAATATGTCTCATGAGAACAGTTATTCATAGGTGTTCTTAACGTGAAAAATCAATATTTTTTGTCTTTTAAGAAGCAACACTAAAATGGCTTCGAATTGTGTTTCGAAACTATTTTACGGATTTTATTATTAGATGTCGCTATCGCGTCCGTATTGAAGCCATTTTAGTGTTGCTTCTTAAAAGACAGAAAATATTGATTTTTCACGTTGAGAACACCTATGAATAACTGTTCTGATGAGACCTATTAGGTCGAAATACGTATCAACAGATACATAGGCGCTGTTTGCGTGAAATCAAATATTTGCTGTCTTTTTCATTTTATTCGGATATACTCTGTGTGAGTACGAGAAACACAATTCGCTAAGAATTTCTGCTTAGTTGTAAAGGCATGTCGTGGAATGCAAATTTTAGATTTCCCATGTCCCTTTTAACATCTTTTATCAACGTCTGTTTGCCTTGCAATTTTTAGAAGGCTCAGATTATAAGCAGAAATCTGAATTGTGTTTCGAAACTATTTTACGGATTTTATTATTAGATATCGCTATAGCGTCCGTATTGAAGCCATTTTAGTGTTGCTTCTTAAAAGACAGAAAATATTGATTTTTCACGTTGAGAACACCTATGAAGAACTGTTCTGATGAGACCTATTAGGTCGAAATACGTATCAACAGATACATAGGCGCTGTTTGCGTGAAATCAAATATTTGCTGTCTTTGTTTTAAACAATATTTCGTTTAAAACTAAAGTTTAAAATAAAGTAATGTATTATACCTACCTGCCCAAGTGTAAACCACTGGACGGTCGAAACGAAATTTATTCGGATAAACTACTTTATGGTTTCGGTCGCTCAGGCAAATATTGTTATCTTACGCAAAGAATGCATCGATAACAACTTTATCTGGGCGACTGTACATATTTTCAAACATAATACCAGGCACATCTGAATGTAAATATCGATGAGAATATGAGAATACTTTGTATTAGTATTTCTCAGTCATTGATAATTTTGCATTTAATAACTACTCCTGGTAGAGTACTTTTATTTAGATTTTTATTGCCTGCTTTTATTACAGATAAATATCTTTTTACACAGTCGCGCCGAATAACGAGGCGACTATACTACTTGTCATAATTTATATCAATCATTTATTTTTTATTAATTTTGAAAATCAGAGGCGCCACCAATAAATGTCACTCAAAATTCAATACTTTTCTCCTATTTTTATTGCAATTTTTAGTCCTAAAATTGTATTACGATATGTCTACAAGAATAATCCAGATTACTTTGAAAACAGATTATAGATTATACAAAACAATACAGTTTTATGATTTTTCTACAAGTAACACAAATATTAAAACTTACCACTTTCTCCAACGTTATTAGGCATAAGAATAGAACTAAGAGTTGTATTAACAGGAAGATGGTCGAAATGAGCATTTGGAGTGAGAATCATTTCTCTAGTGCCTTCGGCAGGTCTACCATCATCGCCGAACGCATTCAGTCTTTTAGCATTATAAAATCGGAACGGCTGGCCATTGTCTGATCGAGGAGTCAATGCAGCTTGTTCCGCTGAGTCCATTATCCTCTGCAAAGAAAGGATTCTGTTAGGTACAATACAACGTGCTCCATTATACATTTAAGTACAAACGTTTTCATCGATTTTGTTTTTCATTGTAGGTTTTTGTTTCCCTTTCTAATTATCTTACAAGTTAAACGTTTGGAATTTTAAAGAAAATAATTGTTTGTAAATCGGATTGATTCCAAATGTAAAAAAGCAAACAAAATAATATTTAGTTAGATTGGTACAAATTCCTCTGTATAGAGGTATATGAAAATAATTTTATATGACTTACCATAACAGCACTCATTTTGAAGTCCATCATGTTTTTTACTTCCATAGCCATTTCTCTAATTAATATAAGTCCATCTTTTCTTACAACATCTATGTCAACGTCATGGTATTTCTGTAAATAAAAAATAATAATAATAATTATGACAAATATTATAAAAGAATAATTTATTATCATTCACTATCTTTCTACTGTTCTAATAACCATTTGCCTATTTTATCATTTGCTTATCTTTATTTTACTGTATTGAGTAGAAGCGTGGACTCTAAGTGAGGAGATGTGTAAACGCTTGAAAGCCTTTGATATGTGGCTATATAGCCGACTACTACGAATATACGAGCTGGGTCGACAAAGTTAAAAATCAGGAAGTCCTTAGACTCTGAACCAAACAACACAACTGATCAATAAAATAAAGAGACGCAAGCGGGAATACTTTGATCACGTTATGAGACACCCTAAAAAATATGAACTTTTAAATATGATCATTCAGGTAAACGTGGCCCTGTAGAACAACAATATGGCTGAAAAATCTAAGACAATGGTACGGAAAATCGACTACTATCATTATTTAGAGCTACTGTCAACAAAGTCACAACAGCGAATATGGTAACAGGTGGCCAACATATTGGCCAACCGACATAATTAAAATTCCTGGTTTTGTTAACTTTGGAATTTACAAGGGAATTCCCAAAAATTCCGTGTTGACAAACTTTTGTCTTGAATTGTCCTCTGATCATTCACCAATTCTAATTTCAATTAGCACTGACATAATATAAAAAAAATAGCACCAAGCTTAGGCAATTAATACACTAATTGAAATAATTTTCAATAAGACCGATATAAAAAGGGATATGGGACACAACTCCAAGCCAAGTCTCAACTAGCCCACCTCAAAAACTACCTTAATTATAAGATAAATAAATAAAAAATACTTGAGAAACAGGAAAATAAAGAAAATTTGGCAAAGAACTCGTGCACTTGCAGACAACAATTAGTTAAATCACGCTACCCTAGAACTCAAGGCTTTACTAAATACTAACAAAAACAATGAAATTCAAAACTATCTTAGAAACTCAACAGCTTTAGTACCTAATGACTAATATTTAAGTAAAGCTGTAAAAAAATTAAAAAAGCCTTAATTTAGCAACCTTTCTATACGTAGTCGAGATGATCAATGGGCAAAAAGTTATAAAGACAACGCCAATGTCTTTGCCCAGCACTTAGAAAAAGTCTTCCAACCATATCCCGCTGAAAATAACTTTGATATTGAAGACAAAGTGAGAGCATTTCTGCAAACCCCATATCAACTGGAATTACCGATTCAAAATTTTACTGTTAGCCTTGTCAAAAGATCCATTCTCATTTTATGCCATCCACAGTTAGTTTTTTTATACTCAATCTTCACGGTTTTACCTTCAGCTCTTAATTCCTTGCCGTTATTTACAATTTCTTGCCTAATGTGTCTTTCCTTTTCGATCAGGTCATCGGTGATAAAGATCTTGTCTACAGTAAAAAATCTGAGTTTGTTCGTTTCTTTCATTATCTTGTTTTTTTTTTCGCTATAATCCTTTATTTGTACCGGACATATATATTGTTTCTTCGACATCCTTATTAGGTGCTTCTATATAAAATCTTTTACGTTATTTTTAAGAGTGTCTCATCTCTTACAGCTATTGGTAGACTCGTAATAAATTACTGTGTTACTTCTTTCTATTACTACGATTCTAATTACTATGTTTCATCTATTTTTCAATTCTTGCTACTTTGTTTTCAACCTGTGTAAATTTTATTTGTTTCTTTCAATTCTTTCTTTATCTTTATATTTTTTTTTCAGCACTCGCTCCCCTATATTCCTTATTTTCATTTCTGATTTCTTGTAGGTTTCACATTATATTCCTGAACATACTCAGAACGTCGTCCCCATCCTCTGAATCGTCTTCCCTTGGTTTGCTTAACAGGAAAAGTCAAGTTGACTCTCTATTTTTCTCTTTTTGTCTTCTTCTTCTTCTTTTGGCATCATAAACCTGGATGGGTCTTTGCCTATCTGGCTATGTCCTTCCATTCAGATCATTCTTTTGCCTAATAATTTCGATGTCATCAATCTTTTATTAGCATAGTATGTACGATTCCCGCTGGAAATACGTGCATTAATTTCGCTACTTACGGAGTTCTTCTGGTTGATTTCTGTGCCGAGATATGTAAAGGCATCCACTCGTTCGATAGTATAGTTGTCTATTGTGATATTATTTTCATTGTCAGTTATTCTTTTGACTGTCATATACTTCGTTTTTGCTTCGTTTATTTTGAGACCTCTTTTTCTTGCTTCAGGATCAATTTGTTTGAACAACTATATAGCAGTAAACAACGGATACAACGAACAAACAATTAATAAAATGTTAAATCAAAAACTACACAAGAAAGCCCTGAAAATAGTATTTCCACCACCAGAGAAAAAACCCAGTACCTTCTGTTCGATTACATATACAGGCAAAATAACAACAAAAATTGCCAAACACATAAAAAAGAAAGGAATAACACCAGCTTTCCGAACAAATAACAACCTAGGTAAATATATTAAAAATAACAAGAGCCAAAATAAAAAACACTTAAATAGTGGTGTGTATAAACTTCAATGTGGCGACTGCCCAAAAACTTACATCGGTCAAACTGGTAGAAACTTTGAGAAACGAATAGCAGAACATAAAAGGGCTTTCAAGAATAGAAAAACAGATTCGACATACGCACTTCACCTTCTAGATCATAATCATTCTTTTAATGACAAATTTAAAATTCTTCACATTCAAAATAAAGGCCTTAAGCTATCTTTGTTAGAATCTATGGAAATCAACAAATTAAAAAACACAGATATAATTCTGAATGACCAACTTGAGACAAACAGTTCTCCCCTCCTCAACCTATTTCATTAGAGACTATAAATTTGTAAACCCAAGCCAAAAATAGATCACTTGAGAAAGGCTATCAGCCGAAACAGCTGTAGTGATAATAGTTAAAATAAATTTTGTGGAAGTTTGAAAACAAAGTCTTCAGTGTTTTATTGTTACATGGTGAATAGCATGTGGAATGCAATTTTAGATTCCCTTGCCAAGTAATGTATCAAGATGTTCGCTTTGCAAATTTTAGAAAGCACAGTGGTAATAATTTGATTTCAATTTCGCCAGGTAGAAATCGTATGATTTCTCTTCTTATTATCAGACCTTTGAATAATCAACAAAACATGTAAATATCGGGATCTGATATTTTCTGACTTTTGCTATGAATTTTTTACAATAGGATTTTTTTCTAGTACCTCTGCCCTTCACAAATTCAGCCTGCCCAAGTACTATTTACCAACTTATGAAATTTTCTAGACAACATAGCAGGATGTAGAGGATCACTTCATAAAGACTATAAAACATAGATAAAACAGAAGAAACAGGGATGACTCTTTTAACAGAAAAATTCTCTATCATGCTTTTTACCAGGCATAGACTACGTGCTCCAGAGAGATTAACTCTGTGTGGTCGTACCCTGTCGGTAGTTAAAGAGTTTAAGTATTTAGGTATTATTGTTGACACCAAGTTACTATGGTCGAGCCACATAAGTCACTTAATAAACAAATGTGAGAAAGGCTACAATTTGCTTAGGTGTGTAATAAATCGAAGTTGGGGTGCAGCTCCTGGTATAGCTTTATTGTTTTATAGAGCCTACGTGCGTTCTATCATTGACTATGGATGTTGTTTATACGGATCCTCTTGTAATACCAATCTAAACAAAATAAACAGAGTTCAATATAAATATTTTAGAACTTGCATCGGTGGGATGGTATCATCACCGGTGAAAGCAATACTGACAGAGTGTAATGAGTTAGCTTTGGTCTTGCGTCGGCAAGTGTTATCACAAAAATATCTTTTAAAACTAAAATCCCTTGCGTCAAACATGATTAACAAATTAAGTGATATTGCCAAAGAAGACCTAACAAACCGCTATCAGAAACTAAAAAATTCTCCTCCACTTGCAGAAGCTTTTGTTGAGACTAATGCTGATCACATTTCTTTTAGTAAAAATAAAAAATTGCTTATGTACACTATACCCTTTAGATCACTAATAAAACTACACAGAGTTATAATACCCAATTATATAGAATATGATCATATAAACCATACCCTTGTAAAATCTATATTGGGTGGATTAGTCAATAAGATATTTATATATACAGATGGATCCAAAACAAAACACGGAGTTGGTTGTGGAGTTTTTATTCAAAATACAAAACAATTATTTATGTTTAAATTACCATCAATATGTAGCATATATGCTACTGAACTTATAGCAATTTTGAAGGGCATTACTTGATTAATATCAAATAGTTTATGAGAGGGAGTTACTAACTGATTCTAAGTCAGCCTTGGAGTCAATAAAAAGCATAAAATTTGAAAGAATGAAATGTCCTATATTATGCAATTTAAAAAAATTAATAGCAGATTTCAATATAACATTTGTATGGGTCAAAGGTCATATAGGTATATTAGGTAATGAAAAAGCTGATAGTTTGGCCAAGGAGGCAGTACAAAACGGAGTTCATTGTAATATTTGTACAATACCAGACGTTTCTAATTTGATAAAAAATCAAATAATGTTAAAATGGGAACGACAGTGGGAAAACGTTGTAGAAAACTCACAAAATATGTATTTTAAAATACATCCAACCCTACTATCTCCACCCCAATATATTTTTAACTATTCCACTTTAAAATTCTTTTCGGCAAGTGTTTTTCGACTTAAACAAATCATGGGCGATTTCCATCGCACCTTGCTAAGCTGGGCATTATACAGTCATCGGTCTGTAGTTGTGATCAGAACTCTTAAGTAGATCTAAACCATATATTCTTCGGTTGCAAAAATATTTTCTTCCATGAAATCTATCACACATTTTGTTAACTGCCAATAGAAATACCTTAGAACTTCTAGTAAACTTTATTAAAGAAGTAAAAATAGAAATTTAAAGCAGCATAACCCACAACTCTGTATTTATATTATAAGAAAAGTTCTGTATACAACTTTCTGGGCAAATGGACTAGATTCCGTGCCATTTTCTTTCCACACACACATAGATAAAGCAGAGAGATAAAAAAATTCAGATGTGTCAAATCTGGGTATAATGATATGAAACAGAAAGTCCGAAGATAAAGGTGATATGAATATGAACATAAAACGCTGAAGTAAAAAATAAAAATTAGGAAAAAAATTTGGATGATATAAAAAGAAACCAGAAAAAGGAAGAATGTCACTACATACACTACAATCTAGAGACTTATTGGTTATGAATTTGTAACATCCTCAAGAGACCAATTTCCAAACGGAAAAAGAAAAAGCCGATATTAAACGACAATACCAATATTTTATTTTCAGGTCGAATCCACGCGATAGCCTTAAAGTGACAATCAGCACCGTGGGCAAGTAAGAACCTGGAACTGTACTAGTTGATCGATATTTCCAACCGCTATTAAAAACAGCGCATCAATCAGAGAGGGATCAGCCCAATATAATACAGAAACCGGAAGTGTTGCGATATCCTTCGAAGATCTGTATCAATGCTTTTGTGTTTCGTTTTAGGAAATGGCTTGGATTTATTTAAGACGGTTGCTATCTTTATTTAATAACGTTTTCTTTCTCTCGTATTCGAGATTCGAATTTTATGTTTTGAATACATTATCTTAACAATACTAAAATATTAAAATTTTAGACCATTATCATACAGTCGTAATTAACTTATAATTTCTCATTTTTTAAATTAAATTGAATAAAGTTTGGGACAATTGGAAGAAATACAAAAATACACCTATTTCAGATACATAAAAAATAGGGAAGAAAATAACAAAATCTTCAGATCATTCAGCATCATTTCTAAGAGGATATTGTAAGAGTGCATACTTTTTTATGAAAGACGACTATTATGAAAACAGGAATTCAGATTAATTTGAAGGTATATATATTCAGGGATTCTACAGTATTTACTGCCTTCGCTCGCTCAACCGTTTCCATCTCTTTCTCTGTTGATTATGTTATTATTTCGTCATTACTTCTTTTATCCATTCTTGTTATTCTGTTGCTACTACCTTACTGCTATTTTTCTTGTTTATAATCCAATTTTCAGCCCTATATGTCATAATACTTCTCACTAATGATTTATAAATCTGTGTTTTTGTCTTCATATTTAGGTGTCTATTCCACCATACTGAGTTAAGTTGTCGGATTGCTGTTCTTGTTTGTCCTAATCTTTGCGTAATTTTAATTTAAAGGTAATTTAATTTAAAGATATTTTAAATTTTATGAGAAAAATCGTTATTCATTTGCTTGTAAAAAACTTCAATTTTTTGGAAACAATTTTCTTTTTAAACTCGCCATTAAACGCCTGCTCTTATTTTATCTTTTATTCTTTTCATAAAAAAATTTCCAAAATATATTATCGTCCAAAAATAAGCCCTATTAATGTATATTCCTATTTTCGGATTATTTTTAAAAGCCTTCCGGTTAAACTTT